CAGGCACACTTGGACTCTCGGTGTGAGGTAAAATGGTCCAGCCTTCTTTTGGAGGCCAGTTTATCCTTATCTAAACAAAAGTGTAAAATTATCTAACCTGCTGACAGCAATTCCACTTCTAAGGAGTTACCTAACAGACAATGCACATGGCTACACGGATACTTGACTGTGCCTACAGGCACCCAGAGCCATTCATCAAGCAGTGTTCAACATGAATCCTACCTATGATAAACTGATATTTTTAAAAACTAATTCTATATTTTTTTGTGAATACAAAACGTTATTTCTTTTCTGATTTTTAGTACTAATTTGTACAATGAAAAGTACACATTTTCATGATTCCTGTAACCTTGTCAGGCCCTTAATTTTTTTTTTTTCCTGTGAACATATAAGAAACTTCGAAAAGAGCCTCAAACAACTGGAGAAAGCAGTGGAAGGAGGCACATTTTTTTCCATATTGAGTTTCTTTAGGATGCACACTGATAGTGGTAAATCGCCCCCTGAGCCTCCAGCTCGCCTCCTAAATAAGTGGTGAGAATCTGGTCCCAACTGTGGGTTGATTGATGGTTTCTACACAGCACCCATAAATTGCAACAAACAGCAAGCAACGTTAAAGGTTGCTCCCCTTTCAGGGAAAAGGAAATTCAAAGGTGCTTAAGGCAGTGGTGGGGGAAGGCGGGGGCCTACACGGTTAATCGATTTACAAAGGACACGTTTTAAAAGTTAAACGTAGTGCGAAATAAAAAGAGAGTGAGAGAAAGAGTGAGGAGGATCGGAGGAAGGAAAGGGGAAGAGAAAGAAAAGGCGATCTGTCTGTCACTCGCTGATGCTCTCCTGGGACCAATCTGGAGGCCAGACCCTCCAAGGACCCGGAGGCGGAGAGCGGGCTCGTCTCCTTCGGGGCCGCAGGTAGATGCTGCCAGCCCCGGATCCGCACTCCGCCACCCCCTCACCCCCAGTACTTGGGCTTCGCCCGGGTGGGTCCTGCCGGGACATGCCCAGCCGTGTCCCGCCACCCTCGCCCCCGCCCTTTCCCGGCCACGGAGCGCGCCATCTGGAACCGGGACTCGCGGCGGGAGCTCACCGACAGCAGGACACCCAGGACGAAGACGATGAGAACCAAGGGGCCCCGCAGCCGAGGCCTGGGACCGGGGGCGCGCCCTGCCCGGTTGCTCGAGGCGGCCTGTGTGCTCTGTGCCTGCTGCCCCGTGCGGTCGCGGGGCGCTCGCTGTCCAGGTCGCCACGGAGTGGCCATCAGGAATGAAAGTGTGCTTCGTGGGGCGCGGGATCGTCCCTGCCGCCTGCGGGATGCGCGGGGCAGGGCTCTATGGTCTAAAGATTCAGCCTGACGCTAGCTTTATACCGTCCTCGGGTTGCGTTACCCGCGGGGGCGAATGAGCTACGCCTTCCGTCGAGTTGACGTAAACATTCACCACTTCTAGCCAATCGCGTGTGGCTCAGGAGAGGAAACCAGCGACCTTGAGGGCACCTCTGTTTCAAAGAGGAAACTGCCTGCTCTGGCGGCTGATGCCCGGGGATGCGGTTTTTCATCAAGGGTACGGTCTGTGCCTTTGGAGGTGGGGACAGGGCACCTCCCACATGCTCTGTTGTGATACGGACTGTGAGATTCAGAATCTGCGTTCAAGGCGGGTCCTGACCCTGCCCCTTTGCAGGGCAAATGCCCCACCCGTTCTTAAACCCTGAACCACCACCTGTCTTCTGACTACCGCCTTCTGCCCACTCTCAGCTTCTGCTCCTCCCCGCCCCGCCTCCATTGACCAGGGCCCCAAGGAGGCCAGAGAACAGGGACTCCCAAAAGGAGACCCCCCGAGAGTCTGCGGAGCGCCTCCAGCCCCGCTTGGCACAGAGTGGATGCCCTGCACGTATTGTAGGGGTGTGAACTAAGAAACCTTGAATTGTTAGAAAAATCAGTAGACTGCCAGACTCACTTGCACTTTCTGAGATTTAAGTGCTTAGAGAATGAGAGCGACCTGGTGGGATTTTTTTGCCCTGGGCCTATTCATGTAATTAATGGTAATGATCAATTTACTATCGAATTACAAATAAGTATTTATTTAAAGGCAAAGGATACACACTATATTTTCCTGTTGCGAACTCTACTTTTTAAGGACCTTAATTATCATTAGCATGGCTGTATAAATTTACTTTCATCACGTTTGTTTTATAAACGTGAAGTTCTACCTGATAGAACATTTGGACCCTGGTGAATACCCACTCAGGGTTCCCAGCATCTTCCTCAACCCTCTCCCTCACCCTCCAGTGTCTGGGTTGGGCCTCTGATATCTGTGGGCTCTTGCCATGGACTCCATGGTGCTGTTCCCAAGCCCGAGTCTGTCCCCCATTCTTCACTGGTGCTGGGCCCTCTATCCTAGGGGTGTGTGAGCATTTACAACACAATGCAGGTACAAATACTTTGTTTAAAAAGTTTTTTAAAGTCTGTTACAGCACCTTTCAGATATAATGATGCAAAATAAAGAGAAAGGAACCT